TTTTTTCTCCCTCTTTATGGGATATTCGATTTATAAGTTTGTTTCCGTTACCTTTGTTGATTCGGGTAACCTTATGGAAACTTGGAGGTTTATATARTTTTTTGTTTATGGACCCACACTTTCTACATGGACATCCGTGTCCTTTTAGTGGAGTCGAACCACACTTGATGAAGGATATTTTTTTGCGGGTCCCTGCTCAGGCGCCAATTACTTTTTTATTATCCTTAATTGTTTTTTTTTTAAATACCGTACTCTAAATGCTAGCTTAACACTGGCTCACTTATAACTGACAATGCTCTGCTATAACTAATAACTAACTTATTTATCTCTTAATTTTAGTTCTTATAGTATTTAATGCTGATCATGCAAAAAGGATGGCTGTGGCATTTCTTGTTGCGTGATCAAGTTCTTCTTGTAATTGTATTAAAATAGATTTTATGATGACTTTGCAAATTGGCTATTGTTGACTTTAATATTCTTTGTTTATGTTAATTCTATTTGTTATGATAGGCGGTTGGCTTGATGCTATGGATGCATGTGGTGTCGACTGACATCACATATGTGTCTACTAAAGATGAATGGGATAGGGGTTTATTTTAGTGGGTTTGGGTTGCATTAATTTACATATGCATGTATGTATGATAACAAAGTTGAACTGCCGTAGAGAAAAAAGAGAACATACTATAACGGAACTGAATTAACGGTAAAATGAAATATTTCTAAATTATTAATAATACATATAAAATCGATATTATTTAAAATGTTATGCTATTAGAATCAACAAGTAGTTAACTTTTACTATTGAGCTGTAAAAATCAGTAGAACTTGTTAATCTCAGGGTTGTAAGGGAAATTTATTTTTGGTACTTATACTGTTAACCCTTTTTTTTTTTTGTGAAATATTGCTTTATTTTCTTCTCTCTATTAATGTTAAGGTTTTATATTTTCTGCCCATTATCCACGTATAATATGTAGGCCTTTCCCCGCAAATATTATTTGTACAGTGCACAGTATAGTAAGGCTCTAAAAAGCATGTGTGTTGAAACACATCATCGAAATTCTAATTTTGTTACTTACAGAATATATAATTACACATAGCACATAAAAATAATTTTGTTTTCAATTTCATTACAATTTAATAGCTCACCTAGATACCAATAGACTTGTGTGGAGAGAGTAGAAGGCAATTACCTCACCGATATCAGCAAATTTTGTGCAATAAATATCCAAACACCGTGCCGTAATCATTCGAACTAACGGTCGTAACTAAAATGTTAAATGTTGTTTTGTACGAATGAATTTGCACATGAAAAAGTAATATTTCACTTGTGTAAGATAGATATTGTATATTCTACCACTTATCACATTATACATTTTAAAAGATATGTTTCATAACAGTCAAATTTTGTCAACGACGCCTATTCGACAATACTGCAATCGACATTATAATGTGTAATACCTTGGGATTAGTTCAAGCCAAAATTTTACATCTGAAATTCTCAGTAATCGAACCGCTACTTTTATTCATATATTCCATGTTAAAATTTTTAGGTTCGTACATATCATCAGATGGATTTTTATCTTCAAACGATTTCCGAAAACATTTCGTTGCTGCGTGTGAATTTTGTCAGTGCGAAATTTTCGAAAAACCGATATTATTTTGCAATACGGATAGTATACACTGTAATAAACATTGTCTCAAATTTTGATATTGAAATTCAAATTACTAGGGTAGCTACAGTGTTTCTTGTAGAAAGGGAATGGAGTCCTTGACATAGCGACTCCAATCTTTAAACGCGTTTTTCTCAAAATGGTGTTTTTCTAAACGGTTTCCACTCTCAAAAGAAGAGTTTTGAGCATATCTAGTTCCAATCTAGAGAAAACAAATTTAACGTCTTTCGGCATCGCGCTATGGAAGTTTTTATTTTATTCGTAATTCGTTTTATTCGCTTCTTTTATATTCGTAATGAATGTATTTATTTATAAAAAATCAAACCAAGTAGTTAATTTCAACATCAAAAAGAAATCGCGAAAATCAATGATTTTTCGGAGGGTCACACTGAGACGATCCCTTAAGTAAATAAAATATTTGTAACTCGTTTGGTAATTTGAAAATGTAGGTTTTTCCTGGAAAATACGTTTTATTCTACAATTTTCATCTAAATTTATGGTTATTTATATTTATATATCGACTTTACGACAGTCGCTTTTTTCAGACCACTAAAATATTTTTAACTGTACACATACATACCTACATATACTTATACTAGAGCTCTTGGTATTCGACTAACCAACTATTCGGTTTGTATTATCCGGATAGTCGTAAGTCGTCGACTAATCGATCATAATCGGCTATACGAACCAAAGCGTTTAACTTTTACAAATTTTATCTACTTTGACTTATATAGACGTACAATTGGCTTTTCACAAATTTGAAAAAAGGAAAAATCAAAGCCTGCTTGAATTTCAAACAATTTTGATTTATTCAAATACTCGCAGTAGAACAACGCAATGTTACGACTATTGGAATCGTTTTATTCACACGAACGATTACAAAGCCGATATTTAAATAATCGGTTTTGAAGTTATTCAAATAAATTTAAGAGCTCTAATACATACATAAATAGCGTAAATTAATAAATTGGTTGTTTCTTTTTACCATCATATCCACAACAGTATTTCTAATGAGTATGTATGTATATATAACGTCCAGATTGCAATGTCATTTGGTTTCATTATACTTTTCAGGTCAAATAACAAATAACAGTGACAGTAAGCTAAATTGTATTGCGAATAAGTTTCAGTGCGAAACATATTTACAGATTCATATGTACATACATATATATGTAATAACATATGTATGCACTCGGTAGATTCGATAGGCATAAATAACATTTTATAAATGTGAAAGATTTATGTAAACAAATGATAAATGTTAAAAATTAAATAAAATTCAAGCATGTAGTTTACTATTACTCTTTTAAAAGTTTTATAGGAAGTAAAATTTCACGCATAAGTTATTATTTGTTTGAATCACATGAAATACAATGAATATACCAAATAAAACTGCTGAACTTGTGCCTTCAAGGCAGTGCCGGATTAAACTAGCGCGAGGCCTGTAGCAAATCCTGTCAAGGGGACCTTGGTTTACTATCCGTTCTCAAGTTTAGTGTATTAAATAAAACAAAATTGTTACAAATAAACTTTTCTGGATTTATTATGGGCACATTTAGAGATAATACTTTCAATAACGACTTTTCTAAGCAGGTCATGCTCTATATTCAACAAAGTGAGATGATTAAGACGTTATTTGCCCATCGTGTTCCTTAATTCATTTTTAATACGTTGTAGTGTTGAAAAAGTTCGCCACTGCAGTTAGTGATCATGAGAGATAAGTAAATTCGCAAAGCGATTTCTAAGTTTGGGAAACACGATTCTAAAGAATTATTTAATAAAAATTTATAATATTGCTGTTCAAGATAGTCCTGTTTCTTGCTGTCAATAGCAGTAGCCACATCTGTTTTCAGCAGCACTGCGAACTGCACTAATCCGCCACCTAGGCTGTTCTCCAAATCATCTTCGTAAGCACTGACCATACTAAAGAATTTTTCCAAAATCCCTTCTGTTGTACGAGTTTTTAGCTGTAGAAATACTTCAAAAACACTAGTAATTTTATGATCTACTTTCATACGTATAGTTAAAGCAGACAGCACGTTATCAATATTGACAATAAACATCTCAAATTCGAAACGTTGTCCAGGTGTTTGATTTTCAAAAAAGTCGTCGAGTGTAGTAGAGCCGCTGAAATTGTCGTACTTTGTATTTCGCTTGATTCGTCGTGATGTCCGCTGCTGGTATTCTTCACAGTAGGTCAGGGCCCGAATCGCGGCACACGTTAACGAGCGAAATTCATGTACTTTTTTTTTTGTTTTCAGACCGTTGTATTGTAATTTGAAATTTCCTCCTTAAATAACGTGTTCTCGTTTGTACGAAAGAATCTAAATCTCACTCGTTTGAGAAACGTTATAGAACAAATTAAAAAAATATATATTAGTTAAAAATAATGGGAGGTAAAATGTAAGTTACTTCTCTTTTTTTGGTTTTTATTTAACATTTATTATAAGTATAACTACTGATTTAAGGACAAATTTAAACAAAATAAATATGGGTCAAAAAAATTGATGAGTGATTTTATGCTACAGCATCAGGACTTGGCAAATAATGTTTTGCCTCATTGTGTGTATAAAAAAGAAAATTTAAGAAGCAATTCCTCCAAGCTAGGGGGATAGATGCTGAAGAGAAATAAAAATGTTGAGAAACTAATTGCCTTAAAGAAGAGATCGCTGCAAATAAAAGAAGAGGTACATAAA